AGTCAGAAGAAGTAGAAGTAGAAGAAGCCAAAAATCGTTCTACATGGAGCTGTTGATGTTGTTGGGTGGCGAGTACGCACCAGTGTCGAAGCTGTGCTTAACCTCATCGACGGCCTTGGTGCCGTGCAGCTCTGCTGGTCGAAGTAGTCGCTGGAGGGCCACGTCCGGGCGCCACCACCTGCCGCTCATGAACTCGACGTAGAGCTACATTGTGCTACGGTGGTTGGTTTCTTTGAAGATTGATTGTGGATGGAGGAGGAAAGGAAGAGAAGAAAAGAGAGATGTAGGAGGAGAAGGGAGAGGGGCGCGTACTCGCCAGTAGGCCACGAGGACCACAAACCCGAGGAGAAGGGAGGAGATGCAGTGGCCCGCCAGACAGCGGACCGTGCGGCTGAGCCCGAGCACGCACACCACGAAGCAAATGCCTGCTCCTGTCGCAAACTCCACCATCTCTGCAAAGGGGACGAAGGGAATGGAATGATGGAGGGAAAATGTGAATTGGAAGATGAAAAAAAATAATAATAATGGACGTAAAAATGTACTTGCAAAGGGACCCAGCAGGCGAGATGTTATTGAAGGAATCGAATCCACTCTGTTCGATTTCGTGACGCAGTGGAACACAAGCAACAAGGCCAGACTGCGGCAGTTGAGATTCACGTTCTGGTCATTTCCGTTTTGTGGCCTCGAAACTCCCGCAGCTCCGGCCGGAACACAAGTGAAGTCCCCACAATGTGTGGAATCCGATGAGATATTTTATTTCTTTGGGGGCAATTCAGCAAAACAGCCACAGTGACCAGAATTGTGTTTACACCGTAGTCATTTATTGACTTGCATGGAGGTGGCTGGTGGTAAAATAAAATATCTGCCTTTGAGCTGCTTGAAAGTGGTCATAGTTGCTCCTAAAATGCAGTTAATTAGATGATCATTGCATGACAAAGAAGCTGATTATTTATAGTGTTATTTGTGGTGAGTTGACTGCAAAGTAAATCTGTTAGCCTCATAAAATGTGTGCATTTACCTCATAGAATTGGCACAGCCAAAGACAATGGGTCACAAAGTAAGGGAGCCACTGTCAACAGCCTATTCCTACTGGGTGCCATAAACTTGTCTTTTGAACAGGTTATTGAGGTCTGGTGCAAGCAGCTTGCCCCAGAACACAAGATATCTTTTTATCACATCATCCACAACAAACACAAGAAACTTGAAACTTGTTGGTCTGTTTTGGCTCTAGGTGTCGACAAATATATAATAAGGCAACACGAAGGAAAAATTTCTCCAAACCAATTAAGTTTGGCCAATCGGATCGCATATCCGCCATTGATCACCGAACAAAGAGCCGGCTTTGACGCGAGAAGGAGAAGATGATAACGAAACTCGCGCGAGCCCCTTCGGCGAGGCGAGCAAGCGGCCTGCTCGCCCAGCTGTGGCAGTGGCGCACAGTGGCCCTCGTGCTCGGGCTGGTCGTGTGGAGCGGCCTCCTGCTTCAGCACCAACTTCGGTTCGCGGCCAACTACAATGTCGACCAAGCAGGGGCCGACCTGGGCTCGAGCCTTGCAGTCGACGACGACGGCTTCGGCTCGCCCCAGCCCCAACCCATCACCCCCGACAATGACGAGCGCAGCGCCAAGGCCGCTTCGACTTTGGCTCCGCCATTGTCCGGAGCTGTTGAGCGAGTTGATGAAAAGTCGGTAGAGGGGAAGGTGGTGCGGCTGGTGGAAGCGAAGGGGGTCTACAAGCCGTTCCGAACGGCGGTGGACCTGCTCGAGGTGGACCCCAACGACGTACCGCCCCTCGTGCGCGCCTGGC